CTCTTCATGAACAAATATTTTTCTCATCACCCTCAAATGATGATGATGTTCATCATCCTATTTATTACCATTATATGAGTTTAACTTTCGATATCTGTGTTGTTGACATTGGACAAATACAAATTTTAAAATTTAAACTCATTAAATTGTGATAAATAAGGTAGTGAACAAAAATGCTTACGCTTTGTAAACAACAGCAGCAGCAGCACTATGATCAAAGCCCAGTTCACTCAAATATGGGCCCTGAGGTGGCGTTTGATTGGGTTATAGTCAATTGGATCTATGAAAATGAGTCAAAGCCCAGTTCACTCAAATATATTACTAATCTTTCACCCAAAAAAGTGTTCGAATCATGTTGAGCTTAGGTTATCCAGAGTCAGAAGCCTGCTTATGCAAATGAAATGAAGGTAAAAGACATGGGAAATAAGAAGAAGAGAGATGGGAGAAATGAAGTCGAATATATTAGAGTTTGGCTTGAGTGCTACGTAACACTTATTGTTATGGTTGTGTTAGCTATTAGATTTGATGTCCTTAACTGCTAGATCTTCTATTTTTAATATCACATATTAATTTTTCGTATCACTCGATGTTTCATTAAAGACAGATTGGATATATAAGTATAAGGCCTAATTGGATTAATAGTCAATGTGATGATAGGGTAGTCGGAAGATAGCCCATATGATAAAAAAAATTAGGATTTAAGCTCTGTTGTGAATTCTGTTAGGATTTAGACCCAAAATTGAAAGTTTGAGTTATTTTATCTTAATTTAATGAACGAATGTTTTAACTTAACCAAGTTTAAATTCCGACAAAAATTAAAAAAACCAAACAAACGACACCAACCAACCACTCTACTAACCAAACTTCAATACACAAAAATTTATGTTATTATTTTGACCGTTGGATTTAAATTTCAGCCATTGGGTAATAAAACTCGACCATTAGATCAAATTCAAAAGTTTGCCCAAAAAAAAAAGATTTTGATATAGACCATTGATAGCCAACATCCAGAAATTGAAAGACGCATATTTGATTTGGATCGTTACCGTTGGACAAGCGGGCCCCCGTGACACATGAGGCCTAACTGTTAGCCATCAGATCCAAAGTCCCGTACGTTTTTTTTTATTTATAAAAGGGTGGCCCCCAACATTTGGGTCCGCCAAATAAAAACCCAAATCTGGTTTTTCATTTGGGTCAAAATCCAAATTTGTTAGGTTTAAATTTTGTTGTCGGATGACAATTTTTAGGTTTGACTCCAAATATTTGGGTATGAGTCGCGTTGTTTGGAGTTGGTCTTAAGTGGCGACAATGATATTTTCCTAAGAGCATCTCCAATGGTGACTTATAACCTAAATTTTTCCCTTTCCCCCCCCCCAAATCCACTCCAACCCAAAACCTAAACCAAACCTAAAACCTAAAACCTAAAATGAAGGTAAATATAGGTCACAAATTTAGCCCACAAAAGTTGTTGGGACCCACGGATGAAAGTGAAAAGTGGGCCTTCTCCTGTAGCCAACGGCTACTTTTCTTCATCGGGTGGTGGTGGTAATTGGACCGTTGGTTAATCCAACGGTCCACATTCAAATTTTTTTTATATTTATATATTTATTGAATCCAATGGCTTAAATCAAATATAATCAAATCTAACGGTAAAAAAAAAAGATCTAACGGTCCAAATTTAAATCCAATGGCTAGAATAATCTTAAAATTTATCGGAATTTAAATATTTTTTTCCAATGGCTAGAATAATTTTTTTTTTTAAGTTTATGTGGTTTATCATAATTTTCATGTATTGATTTAGTGATTTTTCAAAATTTATCGGAATTTAAATATTTTTAGGTTAAAATGTTCATAAAATTAATTTAGGATAGTCTACATAATTTTTTTTTTAAAAAGTTAATTTAAAAAAAATTAGCCTTAATTCATTTTTTGATAATCTGGGGCTAAAATTTTAGGCCAAAAAGGTTGGAGTAGAAAAGCTGTTTCTGGGCTAAAACCTAAATTTTCTGGGCTAAATATTTTTAGGTTTTAGGTCAGGATTGGAGATGGTCTTAATAGATGGTCTCTTCCCATCAACCATCAAAGAATCAAATGGTGTTGAAGTACAATTGATGTCGATCAAAAGAAGAATTATAAAAAAAGGGATCCAAAGCTTAATCATTGTTATCTTATACCAAATCTTTTGCCTAATGGAAGTAGTTAGAAGGCTGGCTTTCAAGTTTCAACAATATCATTTCATCCAAAACCTCTTGATATCCCAAAAGCAAATTACTTTTTATCTACCAAGCATAGAATAAGGAGAGAAAAAAGAAAGAAAAGAAGATTTGATGGCTTCACTTTAGGTGCCTAAGGACTGGGGATTACCAAATTAATTGGTCACTTTATATGCTAATCATGGCTTCCCATGTTCACTGCTCAAGTTGGGGACTGAGGAGGGGCCAATACGAACACCCACCACCATCCCTTTCGGCCGGCCAAGGAGTGAAGTTGGCATACGTACCATGTGAGATCGATGGCTCCACTTCATAATGTACACTGTTTTATGGTTGTATTTGTTCATGCATGCGTATATCGATGGATGTGATTGTTCGCAATCGTTCAATTAGACTTGTTATTACACGATTTTCATTCGTTATTTATGGTTTGATTTGGTTTACGATTTTGGTTAGTAACTAACTATATGACCAAACATATTATTAGTATGATCTAGTTTTTACATAATTACGTTCAAAGAATGATCACTGATTCACTTCATAAATCGTAAAACTTGAATAACCTGTATCTCTTTCTCAGTCTTTTGAACGGTGAGATGTCTCGATCCACGGATTTCAAACATAAGAATCTAGAGCGAATCTCATTCCATTTGGACAAACCGACTTCAAATTTCGTTCCAATTCCAAGAAGAAGAAAGATCATTATTGTACTTAGTGTGTGGTCAGGTGTGGGGGTATTGAAGTCGAAAGAAACCAGACGGTCCATGGCCACACAAAATTGTACGTGATTCGTTTCTGTGGCGATTGCAGTAAATAATATCTTCCTGCGGAATACTGAGTCACTGACATTGTATTCAATTATTTACCCTAATAAGAAACATCCAAAAGACATGGCATTTACTGATGCAAAATTTAGTGGTTTGGTCATATCTCAATCTCAATGGGTGGATGGTGGATTCTCAACCGACATGGTACATAAATCATACCATTTTCTTCAATGCTATTTAAAGCTAAAGTTGGGAGGAAAAATTTCATAAGACAATGTTTTATTTGGATCGCCTTCTCGAACAGTACTCGAATACTCTCAAAATCTTTTGAACAATGTTCGAATTCTTCTCGAAACCCTTTGAGCAATGTTCGAATCCCTTTCGAAACTCCTTTTATGTTTAACAAATGACTACATTAATGGATTAAATTGTTAAATGTTATGGGAAGAAGAATCGATGAGGATCGAACTTGGACCATGATGTATAAACATTATTAATTTCCGCCAATGGAGTAAAACGTCATTTGCAATCAATCACTCTTATTAATCAAGACTAGAATTACTTGGTAGAGCCCTTTTTTATGGTGCATCCTTGTAACATGGTGACAACTTTGTTGACACATAATCATGGTAGGGTTATTAGTTACTTAATTAGCAAGTAAATTATGAGATGGGGTTTGACATATGATATTGCATATTTTGTCTCATATGCTTTTCTTTTGACAAACGATAGGATAATCTACATTAAACTACAAAGATGTATTCAAACACAAGATATCAGATACAAAGGCTAATGCTCTTAACCAAATGAACTATAAACGACTTGTAAAACAATTTTTGTCTCATATCGTTCTTTAGATTAAACCTGTAAAATACCACACACACACACATATATATATGTATATACAAATTGCTTAAGGGAAGGGATCCCCATTTTTTGAAAAAAATAGGGATTAGGTGTGGGGCCAACTTCACATCGAATTTCAACGATCCGAACCGTCTATTTTGTTAGTCTCGATTCATAGATCATCTTTACAAAAATTCAATTCATCCGAAACCATTTGTCTATTTAATTATCAAGATCAAATTTCATTTTTTTTATATAATAAAGTATTCGTTCATTTCTTTGAATCCAATTAGATGTCTTAAATATTTTCGATTTAGCTAATATTTTGCAAGGATTATCTATGAATCGAGAGTAACAAAATAGACGGTTCGGATCGTTGAAATTTGATGTGGAGTGGGTCCCACACCTAATCCCTATTTTTTTCAAAAAATGGGAATCCCTTCCCTTAAGCAATCTGTGTGTGTGTATATATATAATACAATATAAAATGTTAGGTAAACCATGAATTTGGTTCAGTCAATGTTAATATTAAGTGAACCATCAATTTATAGAAAATACCTTGGCTAACTTATTTGTCCAGTATCTCATGCATTAAATGATTTAAATTGGTTGGGACAAGTCCACGTGCCTCACCAACTTTACCACTATCTACATCGTATAAAAATACAAAAGTATAAAAGTCCTATGTACTTGTAGCTTTCATTCCAAACAAACTAGTTTACTTTTATAAATCAACATGTCATTATGTATATTTCGTTATTAGATAATGTGTTATACGTGGGCAACCAGAATGGATAAAAAGTTGAAATGACGTGCGTTTACTCGTTCAAAATTCGCTTACACAAATAATTAAGAAGAATTTTAATGAAAAACTATTGGTACTGTTCATTTTAACGAAAAATTATTATTTTTCTTTAAAAAATCAAACCTAATACTACTCACTTACAACATATTTTTATTATTTTCGTTAAAACTTAAAGTTAATTTTTCTATAATTAAAACGACAAGTATTTATATAGAAAATACGGAGCCTTTTGTTTACCTTCCTTCTCATAGTTTTCTCATCAAGTTTTTCGGTGGACCCGACAACGTATACGGTGGGACCGGGACCCACATTCCTTCAAAATAATCAGTGCAACCAGGAAGGAAAGAGAAAACAGTGTTTTGTTTGTTAGCTCCGCCATGATGCCATCAGTCCTCCTACCGCTTCCCCCCTCCTCATCTCTATCTCTCTCCCCATCGTTGTCACGGCATCTCTCTCAGCACCAACCCCCAAAGGGTTTCCACTTTCTAGGGTTTTTAGGGCTCTCAGAGTTTGTCCAATCTTTCGCCATTTCTCAGATTTGTGATTTGCTCGCCGAATATTGCTCCAATGCGTCTGTAGAAGAAGCACGATCAGGTACTGTTCTTCGCGTTTCTCTGATCTGGGCTTGCTTTGAGCGTGTTCGTGTCTCGAGATTTGAGCCCCTGGAGCTTCAGGAGCTCAATGAAGCTCTGCATTTTCAATTTATTTTATTTTTTCTTGAATTAATTTTAGTTTTTTTTGTTTATTGGATTTGTGTTTTTTATTAAGTTTGATTTGTTTGGTGGGAAAAATTTATTGGTGATTATTTTTTCCTTGGTGATGTGCAAAAAATTATTAAATTATAGCTTGAAGAAAATGAAAGACGGGAACTTGGTGTAGCTTTCATGTAGTTTATGATTTGTTAGTTTAAGTAGAGGAAAGTGAAATTATGGAAAATAAAAAATGCTCGTTACACACCATCAAATTGATTGGAAATCTGTTTCGTGCCGGTGTTACGGTCGGAAAGATATGATTTTTTGTGTGGTGTTGAAAGGATGCTTTGTCTAAAGCTCTTGGGGTTTAGATTGAGTGGCGAGGGAGGGTGGTGAAATGGATTTAGGATTAGGCTAGGTCAAGTGTTCGATTTTGTTCCATTGTAACCGAGTAACGAAAATGATGCTGTGACTAAGCTCTTGGGGTTAACCCGAGTGGTGAGGGCGCGGGGAAATGGACTCGTTTGGATGTGCTTTTAAAATTATTGAACGCACTTTTAGAGAAAATGTTTTTTGGTTCCAACTTGTGCTTTTTCCAGGAAGCACTTTAAGTGCTTTTCCAGAATTTACTTGCATTTTTATTAAGAATTGGTTCCAAAAACATTTTTACCGAAAGCGTTTTCAGTCATTTCAAAAGCACATCCAAACGAACTCATAGTGTTGAGATGTTGTATTGGTTTTGAGTTTGAAATCTTTTTGAGAATCTTGCTTGTTGAAGTCCTATTGTGTGTCACTGAGTAGCTTACTTCTGCTTTTACTAATCAGTGCAAACCAGAAACAACATCTGCTGTTGGGCGACTGATGTTCTTCATAGTTCATACTCTGTTGATATTTCAGGGAATGGATTTTATATTTACCGCAGTGAAAAGACATTTAGCATGATGTGGGGAGTTTAGTTTTATAAGGCACGGAACAGTCTAACTCGTGACGTGATAAACCTGAAAGGCTTCTCAAGGAACTGATCATTGAAAACTTCCTCGTTTTGGCACTTCATTTGGATTACGTGATCAGACTGAGTAACCCTAGAAATGGCTTCGTCTTCTGGTACTTCTGAAATTGTTGAAGCAAAAGACGAGCTAATTACAGGTCAATATTCTCACGGAATACATCGAACGAATCCTGGATTGAGTAGGGGTGAGAAAGATCGGAAGCTTCCTCCTGTTCTAAAACTGGGATACAAGGATTCTCTAGAAGATGATATTAATAAGCTCTTTGAGGCAATCAAAACATCATCCAAGGGTTCAGATCGTTCAAAGCAAGTAGGCACTAGCCCTTTAAATAGAAATGCCTTAAAGAAACCAATTACAGTGGGTGTGTCTCACTCACCAGGGATTGGGAATTCAGAACCGGCGACTCTGAAGCAGGCGTTAAGAGAGCTCTCTATTACCAAGGCATCAGAAATGGCTGCTATGAAACGGTTATCAAAATTGACAAGTCCTTCAAGAGCCTCGGAATCTGGGAGGATCAAGACGTTATACAATGCAGTTGTTGTTCAATCTAGTCACTCTGGCGCCTCCTCAAGTGAAGATAGGGGAAATATGGTTGAAATCTCTCTGGTGCCAGAAGAAAGCATTTCAAATTCTTGCAGGGAGCTGTCCGAGCATCCTCAAATGTCCAAGATGAAGTCATCAAGCCAGAGTGGACATTCTTCTCCTCGATTTGCCATTGGGAAAACAGAAAATAATTCCGGGAGCACAATAGTGCAAAATGAAAGTACTTCCAGTTGCAAGTTAAGGACAGTAGGGGAGCAAACAGTAAAGGTGGAAATGGGAAAGAAGGAGAACAATAAATCTACGAATGACCATATTTCAGAACTTGCTGAAAATGGCCCTTCCAACACCGTGTTACGGACAAAAACTAAGTCGGAGCTGGGGAAGAAAGAGAAACTTAAATCTACAAGTGGCAATACTTCAGGACTTGTTCAAAATGTTCCTGCCAAGACCAAGTTAGCGAATAAGGTATCAGCAGTAAAACCAGGGCGAAAAGTCAAGTTGCATGTAGTACCTTCTTCATCTAGTTTGGTGAATGTAAATCCGGCAAGCAAAGTATCCAGAAATACCGTCCGCTCTGTAAAACAAGCCAGCAGGAATAGGAATATCTTAAAGAAGAAGACAAGGCAACTGGTCTGTGAGAGATGCCAATGTGCAATACAAGGTGCTGGACAACAATCCAATGAAGGTTCTTTGTCTCCCCAGTTTAACGGTCTTGCTAATGAAATAAACTCAAGTAATGTGCACAGCACTCCAGGTAAACCAGGCTTCACCTTGGACAACAAGAAGACTGGCAATACAGGGGGAGCTGGCATCATGAAATCAAAAACGAACTCCAATTCAAAAGAAAGAGGGGAGTTCTCCCAAAGCTCAAAAAGTAGCCAAGGTGATCATAGTAGTAGTACAAGTTTGAGTGACGAGAGCAATGTAAGTGGATCTAGTTATAGCAATAAACCTCACATGTCAAAGGATGTGAGGTGGGAGGCCATCCGTCATGTTCGGTTGCAGCATGGATCCTTGGGCTTGAGACACTTTAACCTTTTGAAAAAGCTTGGTTGTGGAGACATAGGAACTGTATATCTTGCTGAACTCATTAGTACGAACTGTCATTTTGCCATAAAGGTAATGGACAATGAATTCTTGGCTAGAAGGAAGAAGATGCCAAGGGCGCAGACTGAAAGAGAAATACTGAGGATGCTTGATCATCCTTTTCTCCCTACGCTTTATACTCAATTTACATCAGATAATCTGTCATGTTTAGTTACGGAGTATTGCCCAGGCGGAGATCTTCATGTCCTCCGACAGAAGCAAATTGGAAGGTGTTTTTCTGAAGCAGCAACAAGGTAGAATTATTTTAATTAACACCTGTACGTATCGAACTTCTACATTTTGTTTTGGATGCTATTGAGACATTATCTGCAGTCAAGCATTAGGTTACAAGATGAATGTCTAAGAAAGTATACACCTTTGTCACTCACGTCCCCAACTAAAATTATATTTAATGTGTTTTTGCCAGTCAGCTATTCACCTTCTCTTCTCTTTGAGAAATGCCTACATGACATCTTGAATTGTCTTTTTTTTCCGGGTCATCTCTAAAGAGCTTTACTTCAAATTCAATAGAGTAATGGACCATTAGGTTCATGTCCTCTGATCTAATACTTTTTCGTGTATTAAATTAGATGCTGGAATTTTACCATTACAATACTAATTTAAACCTTTTTGCTTTCAGGTTCTATGTTGCGGAAATTCTCCTTGCTTTGGAGTATTTACACATGCTTGGGGTAGTTTATCGGGATTTGAAACCAGAAAACATTCTAGTTCGGGAAGATGGTCATATCATGCTCACAGATTTTGACCTGTCTCTTAGGTGCACTGTCAGTCCAACTCTATTGAAATCACCTTCATGCGATGTTTATCGTGCAAGAGTGTCTGGTCCGTGTACACAATCTAGCTGCGCCGAGCCCTTCTGCATTGAACCCTCCTGTCAAGTCCCATGCTTCAGCCCTAGGTTTCCTGCTGCTGCAAAAGCAAAGAAGTCCAAAAATGACCCTGCATCCCATGTTAGATCATTGCCACAGCTTGTGGCAGAGCCTACTGATGCGCGGTCCAATTCCTTTGTCGGGACCCATGAGTACTTGGCTCCGGAGATCATCAAAGGAGAGGGTCATGGAGCTGCAGTTGATTGGTGGACGTTTGGAATCTTCCTTTACGAGCTTCTGTACGGCAGAACACCATTCAAAGGTATTAACAACGAGGAAACGTTGGCCAATGTGGTGTTGCAGAGCCTAAGGTTCCCAGAGGACCCCCATGTTAGCTTCCAGGCTCGAGATCTCATCAGAGATCTGTTGGTAAAGGAGCCAGAGAATCGGTTGGGATCAGAGAAAGGGGCCGGTGAGATCAAGCAGCATCCGTTCTTTGAGGGCCTGAATTGGGCACTGATACGCTGCGCCACTCCGCCAGAACTGCCCGAGTATTGCGATTTTGAGATCCCGGACATGCCTGCTGCTCAGGAGAATACCAAGTATTTGGAGTTCAAGGCGACGGGAGAGCACCTGGAGTTTGAGTTATTTTAGAGGAAAGTCACAATTTTTAGGAGAAGAAGAAGCTTTCTGCTTGTGCATGTATAATTACCTCTTGAAAGACCTCCTCCTTTCCGGCTATATATATAACTCAGAAATCTAGCTTATGTACATACTCTTTTAAGCTTTCAGTAATGCCGCACATATCAGATTCCGAAATTTTGTACATTAGGGAATATCGCGTGGCTCGGGATGCTAGCAACAATCGTCCATGCACAACTATTATCATTTTTAACTGTTTTTGTAAAACTACAAATATTTACTAAATTTACTAAACGAAAATAGTTATTAAATGAGTTTTCATTTTTTTTATTTAAAAAACCGAAAATGTATTAAATAAAATAAAATTTTCTTTTTTATTTATTTTACTTTTTATTTTTTAAACAAACGATATTCGCTACGGAAAGCGGAATGCTATTTTAAAGTGGTAGGTACGAAAACAATCGCCGGCGTCTGGCAGAAGAGTCGGACTAGGATTCAACACCACTGGTATACTGGATTCCCCCCCCTAATAATCCTCTCCATCTCTCTGCCGCCGCCACAAGCATAGTTTGTCGTTGACATCACCAACCTCCACTGCGAGCTCTCACCTGCCCTCGCCGCCATCAATTTGTAGAGGTTGATGGGTGTGATTGATATATACAACGCTTCCTCACTCCGATTAACCGCCCCCCGCGGACCCAGCTGTGGAAGAATTGAAGGGAATAGAAAGAGGGTGAGGGTGGTGGGTATGGCGTCCACAATCCCTGTGCAGCATAAACCAGTCAATGACGGTCAACAGCGTTTGACTGGGGACTCATTCATTCGACCCCATTTGAGGAACTTGTCTCCTTATCAGCCCATTTTGCCATTTGAGGTATTTGGAATCCAAAAGATTTGATTTTTCTTGGTCTAATCGGTATGAAGTTAGCTAGTTATCACTAATTTGCTAAATTTATTTTTGTTAATGTGGGTTTAGTTAGCTTTACAATGCATTTCAATGAGGAGGTTGAGAATTTTAATTATCTGTGAACCGATATTTTCGTACTAGCATCGTGAATGTATGATGAATTATAGTTCTAGTGTTGACAAAATTGAGCTGGAGCAGCTTGTTCTTACTGAACCTTGAATGACAAAATTGATCTCGATTCATCTTAATTGTTATTTGAACTTGTAAAGATTAGGTCTTTACCCGGGATGAGAGGCTGTCCGGGTGTCCAGGTGAGGATGATGGATTCTGTTAAAGAAATGGTTTATCTATACTTTCTTTTTGTTTCTTGTAATTGGGGTTGCTGTGTGTACTTCACTGTAATTTTTTATTTAAGGTCGAATTTGATATCTCTCGGTTGATTGTTAATCGTTTATCTTCGATGTGTTCCATTGTTTTATTAAACATTTCTATTAGTAAATTTCTGTCCAAATCAACAGATAAGTTTCTTTTGCTACAGGTTTTGTCAACTAGACTTGGAAGGAAGCCTGAGGACATCATCAAGCTAGATGCAAATGAAAACCCTTATGGTCCTCCTCCGGAGGTAAGTCACATTTGCCATCTTGCTTGGTTTCGTAGCAAAACAATTTTGATACTCGCTTGGTTTCATTTTGTTCCAAGTGACACCATTATACCGAGATTTTTTTACCGCTTTATGTCCTTACTGTAATTTCATATTGTTCGTAGGTTTTTGAAGCTTTGGGTGCATTGAAATTCCCATATATCTATCCCGACCCTGAAAGCCATCGATTACGTGCTGCCCTTGCAAAGGATTCGGGCCTTGAATCTGATTATATTCTTGTCGGATGTGGTGCTGGTGAGCTCATTGATTTGATTATGAGGTCAGAACTGAATATTATGTTTGTATAAGATTCCAAAAAATGCTATTCTTTATGCTCTTTTTTTTCTCTATCAGTCTCTGATCTTCTATTTAATTTGTCCATCATTACAATATTGCTGAAGATGTGTACTTGATCCTGGCGACAAGATTGTTGATTGCCCACCGACGTTCACTATGTAAGAATTTGATGCTGCAGTAAACGCTGCTTCTGTCATCAAAGGTAAAGTTAACTTCCTGCTTAATTTTCTGTTGAATATTTCAAAAAAGTTTATTATTTCATATATGAAACTCTTTCTACTTATCTGCCCTCTCCTCAAAGACAAAAGACCTCAGCTGTTATACTTCGATGTACATTATGTGTGTATAAAACTACGTGTTTTGGCAGACCTGTGCAGTGCCAAGGAAGTCGGATTTTAGCTTGGATGTAGAAGTCATTTCAGATGTTGTTTTACAGGAAAAACCAAAATGCATATTCCTAACTTCTACCAACAATCCAGATGGGAGGTAACTGAAAATTGTCTCTTTCCGTACGTATGTTTGATATACACGTGCTATAAGATTGATATTATGGCCCTTTTGTGTTTTAAGTAATACAGTCTATTAATAAGCGGTTTAGGGTACTCACCAGAACAAAATTATTGTTAAAACTGATTATCCATTGATATATGATCTATCTTCTCCCTATCTCGGGATCTGGTTTTTTATAGTATTTGATTCATTCCAAACTTGAGAAACCAACTTAACTTATTCTTTTAATACAAGTTGCGTACTGGTCCCTAACATTACTGGTGCTACTAGGGAACATGTAAGCAAAAAGTAAAGGATTGGATAGTATTTCCAGCTATCCTGCTGAGAAGTTATCAAGTAAGCAGTTGACGTGGCACTTTTGGTAGACATGGATTTAAGGTTAGCATGATGAGCTGTGTCACAGAAATAGAAGACCAGAAAAGGAAAAAAAAATGGTTTTTGAGTAGAATTGCATCTTCGGTTATGAACATCTTGATACAAATGCTTCTGGTTTCTTATTTTTTTTATCACAATGAAGATTGGAGATGGTTTATTCTGACACAATGACTCCACATACTTCTCTTATCATAACATGTATGGTTTCTAGAATCTGAGTGTCACTCTAAGATATTGTATTTTCATGTTCTACTTATTTGATGACAGTATAATAAGTGATGAGATTCTCCTGAAAATCCTTGAGCTTCCTATATTGGTCGTGCTGGATAAAGCATATATTTCAGGACTCGAATCGAGGATGCAGTGGGTGAAAAAGCACGAGAATTTAATTGTTCTGCGAACATTTAGCAAACGAGCTGGTATTCTTAAACTTCTTGTTTTGTTTTGATAAGTCATTACTTGTGAATAATTCAGTTATGGTAACTATTGAATAATGAAATCTATCGATCAAATAATTTCTGGTGTCATGGTTTTGGCAATAAAAACTATACTTCTGCTTTTGTACTATTGACACTCTTAATGAATTTCCAGTAACAAGATTTTCGTTATACAAACTTTGGTTCTCTTTTGTTTGTCAATTTAACGCTTCTGGTTTCAACTTTTATGTAAATGGTTTGATTCTTTGGCAATGCGCAAATGGTGCAGGCTTAGCTGGACTCCGTGTAGGATATGGAGCATTTCCGCTGAGCATAATTGAATATGGAGAGCTAAGCAACCATATAATGTGTCTGTTACTGCTGAAGTTTCTGCTTGTGCAGCATTGCAGAATCCCACCTATCTTGAGGTTAGGATTCTTCAGTTTCCCGCTATGCCTCCTGTAACTTTTAACATTTGAAATGTATTTCTAACATCGGTTACTACATATACCAGACGGTGAAAGAAGCTTTGCTACGAGAGAGGGAACGTCTTTTTAACCTCCTAAAGCAGCTCCAGTTTCTCAACCCGTATCCAAACTATTCCAATTTCATTCTCTGTGAGGTTACATCGGGAATGGATCCTAAGAAGCTGAAGGTAATTTTTCATGTTTTCCTCAATGTAGCGTTGTGTCATCATACTAAATTTGTAGTTCTGCACCCAATTTATGCAATCCAACCAATTCATAATTTTCAACCTGCTATTCACCGCTGAAACTTAAATAATGTACACGTTTAAGTCACGTAAATCCATCCCTGTTTTGAACATTCTATATCGTTCAAGGTTTCAATTTTGTTTGATACAGGAGGACCTCGCGAAAATGGGGGTGATGATTCGTCACTACAACAACAAAGAGTTGAAGGGTTATGTTCGCATATCTGTTGGGAAGCCTGAACACACAGATATATTGATCGATTGCCTCAGACGCTTGTCCCCTAAATACAGCACCTTAAACCAGTTTCTTTCTTTCTTTCTTTGTCAGCAGTTAGTGAGGGATTGGAGTTGTATTTTGTTTGTCAATTTATTGCTGAAAAGCCAAAGATTCCAGGGAAAGCTTGCATTTTAACAGACCACACGATATCCAGTTTTGGTGTAAAATATGGAACCGCCGTGATTTGGATTGGATAACTTACTAGGTTCTTTAAGGTATCGTTTGATATGCAAACGGAACGGGACGGAACGGAATGGAATGGGACAGGATGGTACGGGACGGGACGGGACGGAGAGGGAGCAAAGATGCCCTCGGATGGAAACAAGGAGGAAGAAGATGGAGATGTTATAATTTTGTGTTCCACGTATGTTGAACGAAGAAATGGACGACGCAAATAGTGAATAATTGTTTGATGAAATGCCTCGCAGAGTTTCTATTTAGGGAAATCTTTTATCATTCCCCTGTTACGACAAATTCTTAGCTCCGTCACTGTGTGTGTATGTCCAAAACCCTAACCTCGAGTTTGTGGCCTAATATGATCCCTACTGGTTGAAGTTAGATGTGTGCACAAAGGTGAACTATAATTACATTTTACAATCATACGTTTAAGTTATAACTTATATACGATCAACTCACAAGAAGATTACTTACAACAGGGAAATGACTTTTCTGCACTCTCTATCCTTTTTCACTCCTGCCCTTGTTTCTAGTCACATGATTTAATAAATCAATGTTCAACAGAGACTAAAACGACCAGAGGAATACAGAAGGACAAAATGAGACTGCAAAAATCATTGCTCGTTACAAAATCTTTTTTGACATATAAAATGATATATTAGAAAGGGGTTTTATCACAAATAGTCCTTAAAATTGACCCTTACCATCAAGATGGTTTCTAAAATTAAAAATCAATCAATTGAGTCCTTGAAAATAAGTGTCGCAAATCAATGTGGTCATTTCGTCATAATTCTGTTAAAAATTATGTTCAGTGCTGATGTGACACATAAATGGGCCTCATAAGTCATTTTTTTCTCACAAATAGTCCTTGAAATTGACCCGCGACTTCAAAATGGTCCTGAAATTGAAAATCGATCCATGTAATTCCATAAGTACAAATCAATGTAGTCATTCCGTCACAATTCTGTCAAATTTTTTATTATGTGCTGATGTAACACATAAGTGGGTCACACAAGTCTAATTAAATTAAAAAAAAATTAAAATAGGTTTAATAATTTAATAGTTAATAAAAAGGAGAGCTACTAAACCCATCCCATTGTCCTATTTTTCCACCCACATTTTAATAAAAATTTCAAAGACATGTATATCATTTTAGGAAAAGGCTTATAAATCCCTACATGTTTATCTCCCCCGCCTCCTCTCCCTTCTCCACACTCTCTCTTGTCGGCTTCTCCAACAACTATTACATTGTTTCTTCCCGTCTCTCTATCTCGGAAACCGGTCTCAAATCATTCGAATCTCTCCCTCTCTTTCGACCTTCCTCTCTCTTCCCCAACCCAAATCTTATGTCACCTACAATCCAAATTGCATCATTAAAAGAGCGGAACCTCTCCTCATCCAATATCCCTTTTTAACCTCTTTGTCTATTTATGATTTCTATTTGCTTCCACTATCAATTTTGTATTCGAATTAATTTTGGAATTAATCAATTTTGAATAAAACAAGATTGGTTGTATTCGCATCTGACTCCAACAAAACCAATGACTATGTGGCTCTCAAGGTTGTAAATTTTCACCCTTTTTAATTTTTCACAAGATAAGTTAATTTATGGGTTTGTTCAAAGATTTGCAATCTTGATTTTGGTGCAAAGTTAATTCTTGGAGGTGTGGTGTTTAAATGTTATTTTAGGAATAACAGTGGGTGGGTAAATAAAATGTTAAGTTTTTAATTTTTTATGGTGGGTAGGATAATAAGGTAGGTGGGAAAATAGGACAATGGGGTGGGTCTAACATCACTCTAAAAAAGTAGTCAACCCAAAAACCCAGTCCTGCAATCACCTCTTATCCCAATCCACATTCCTCTACCTCCTTCACTGTCTATTCTTTAAAAAAAAAAATCTCAATACCCCCATCTTTACACACTTCGACATCCTTCACCGAATTGAACATAGATCGAGATCACCTTTGGTGACGACTTAGCCGATTGTCATCGACTTCTAGGACATCACTGCTAACATTTGATCAACATCCGAACAACCTTAATCTTGGAGAGCTTGTTCGGTGCTTCCCTGGTGGTCTTGTGATGCAAAGAACGACGATGTCTGCTTTAAGATAATGAGGTTATAACTGAGGTGCGTCTATTGTTGGTTGAAAACTATTTCCAACCCATTTTAAGACCTTGGTTAAGCCTTGTGCCTTTGAGAATTTATGGAAGGAATCTCTTTTCGGAGTAAAGCCTACTATAAGAAAAAAAAAATTCATTGTGAAAAAAGGTATTTAGACAACTTTTTTAATTAATTATTAAACTCATATCAACACATAATTTTTTTTTACAGAATTGTGGCAAAAGGATCATATTCATTTGCAACACCTATTTTCAAGAATTATATTGATCGCTTTTTAATTTCAGAGACCATCTCGATGGTGTGGGTCAATTTCAGGGACAATTTGTGATAAAAATCATAAATCTTGTGGGACCCATTTATATGTCACATCAGCACTTAACGAAATTTTTAACAGAATTGTGACGGAATGACAACATTGATTTGCAACACCTATTTTCAGGGATTACATTGATTGATTTTCAATTTCAGGTACCATCTTGATTATGAGGATCAATTTCAGAATCATTTATAATAAAAACCCTATTAGAAATAACTTACCACCACGCTACCGGAATGTGTTGCAACTGTTCCCACAAAAACTGCTTTTGGCTAGCAATCACTCAATAGTTGTGACAACTTTTTTGGTATATAAACATGCGTCACTGAGTGTCAAATGCACCATCACAGATTCACATTCCCTTGAAATCCCAATGAAGTCGAGTGTGCTTCCTGTACTTGTCCTTGTGACATTTTTGCTCGTGCTAGCGTGGACCGCAGCGCATGCAAAAGGATGTCGCAGACACTGCGACAACAACATGACTTACTGCATTCAGCTGTGTTCCGTCGACGAGAGCAAATCACCAGTAACTACGTGTAGGAATAGATGTGACGAGCAGTATAACCACTGCCTTGCAAGATGCAAAAGGTACTCCTCCTTCTCCTCCTCCTTGTCGCGGCCGTCGTCCCCTATGCCATATACATGATCGAATGCAGCCGCCCGGCAGAGCTTCCTAAATTATGTTATACATACGTTAAATAAAACAAAGCTCTTGTAAAGCTTTTGGTTGAATTCAAATAAAAGGAAGCTTCGAATCAATGAACTAAATTATGTTATACTTCTAATACTACCAACTTTGTAGCAAGTCCTCGTTATAGTTCAAATGATACAGAACATTCACCTCTACCTTCTGATGTCTTGAGTTTATCCATTTTCTCGTCTAAAATCGCTTGTACTTTCATTTTCTCCAACTTTGTAGCTTGACTTAAGGTCATCTCCAACTAAAGGGTCCAAAGGGCCAGAGGGCCGAAAAACGCCTGAAAACCGTTTCCAACCGAGGGCTAGGCTAGAGGGCTTGTGGGCCCCACATAATCTGAAAGGGCCAAAGGGCCAACCAGCTGACCACTTTCAGCCAGCCAGCCAGCCGGCTGGCTAGCCCAATTTCAATTTTTTTTTCTTTTCCATTGCCCATCCCACTTTAGTGTTTAGGGTTTAGTTTTTTTTATGGTCCCAACCCATTTTTTGTTTTTATGCCCAACAACCTTTTTTTTTTTTTTAAATTTCTAATTTTTCCTACACCATTTTTCACATATTTTCATTATTCCATACTATCTTATCTCATTTTATTTCAATTCTTCACATTCCATACCATAGCCCTTTGGGCCTCGGTTGGAAACGGTTTTTTGTGACAGGGCTAAAACGAGCCCTATGACTCTTGAGCCCTCGGTTGGAGATGGTAAGGAATATGGCCCTGCATTGTTCATTAAAATATTAATTTCTTGAAGGGCCAGAGGGCTAAAACGAGCGTTTTGGCCAGTTTTTTGTTAGAGATGGCCTAAGTTGTTCGAATTTGGCCAAATGGTGAAGAAAAGTGGGTTAATTTACGATCAGGATGTATTTAGGATTCAAATTGTTTTACAGCATGTTTACTTTATTACAAAATCAAAGGAATTTGTTTCCGCATAGCCTGGTAACGTAGGCTTGTAACTAAGTAGGGGATTAAGGTGATTGATGGGAGATGGAGCCTTGGTCAAGTGAGGCATAGTGTTTGAAATCTATTCATCACTCTTGTGAAGTCACTTTAAGCACACTCTAAGCCCCTCGGGTTAGTAAGGGCATCCCACTAGCAAAAAAAGGAATTTGTTTCTTGATTACGGATTACTCATGTATTTACTAACTATATCCAAATAAAAGCACAAGTGGAGCTCACACAATATCAATGACGCAACATGAAGCAAGTGGGATACGAACGTAAGCCCTCGAAGAACAGGATTTCTAGAATTTGCTAGATTTTGGTTGAAAACCCAAAGGTTGTTTTGTTTAATTGATATCTCTGATGCTCATAAACGAACAACCAAATGGATTAAATAAACATAATACATATGTTGGGACAACTCAAAGGACTATTACATAAATTCGGACGACAAACAAAAAGCCCAAATTTTTATTACGAAATTAAAACTGCATTTTGGAGGATGAAACGCCCCGGTTGACCAAAATCCATTGTACGTCATGGAAAAGCGGCCTATTGGACTAGCGGCGTTGTTTTCTTTTTGAAAAGGTATCACGACCCCAAGTCGAAGCTAGGACGCCAAATCTGCAAATTTTCGTTGCGTCGTTTTGTCTTCCAACAGTCCATTTCCTCTTCGATCCATACTATTGTTTGTTTTACATTGATCAATTATTCAAATTTTGCGTGCCAGAAAGTCATTTGTTTTAATTCTTGGGGTGCCAAGTCATGGATGACTTTGTGGCAACCAGAAAGGCATCACTCTTATATAATTTTGTTAATTTTTCTTTTATTTCTCTTACCATTACAACAAAATATCATATTCATATTCTTCAAAATATATTTTTTAGTGCGTAGAGCTTGACTCGTTTTCTAAGCACTCAGGAGTTCACCTCGTTCTGCGTGCACCGAGTCTGCCTCTTCTTGTGTGCCTTGGTTGGCCTCATTCTGCACATGAGATGTCCACATCGTTTTGCGTGCCAGAACCCCGCCTTTTTTTGCAAGCATAAAGCTCGCCTAACTTTGGCGTGCACGGAGCCAGCCTCATTTTATGTACGACGTATCTCGCCTCGTTTTTCGTTCGCAGAGCTCTCCTCGTTTTGCATGCCAAAAGCCCGCTCCGTTTTTAATGAGCAGAGCTCACCTTGTTTTGCATGGCACAATTCATCTTGTTTTGCGTGCGTCGAGCCTACCTAACACCCATGTTTTTTTTACAGCAATGCAAATTTTTTATTTTAGCAAAATATTTTTCTTGAGCATTAAGTTGAACTTTTTAAGGAATTTGGAAGCAGTTTTATGGTTTATTGAGCAACAAATGTACATATAGTAGAATATTGGCTAAATCGCGAAAATGGTCCATGAGATTTGTATAAAACATCACTTTGGTCCCTGAGATTGTCCGCCATCCATCATTTTCGTCCTTCCGTTAAAAACTCCATTAAGTGTCCCGGAGCTTTTGACCAGAAGTTTGGGCAATTTTCAAAGCTTCGTAACTTAATCGTTTCTTAACCAAATTTGACCCATAATATATCAAAATGAAGATAGGAAAGTCTAGAATAAGATTATATATATTTGGAAGCCTAGTGGTTTCCGGAGATGGCTAGAAAATAGCCTCAAAGTTGACTGGTCCGAGGGAAAACTGGAAAACTTGCCGGAAGCTGGGTAAACTTTAAATGTTCATAACTTCTTCAATACTCAACTAAATCAAGTGATTCAAAAACAAAAATCATACTTCTCGACAAGATGAAGAGAATGGTATATTTTTAGATGGCTAAATCTCCGTGGTTTGGCCGGACAACGGCTCGAAAGTGGCTGTCTTGGTCTTGAGTTAGCCACTTTCGAGACATTTTTTTGCCAAACCATGGCGATTTATCATTAAAAAAGGTACCATTCTCTTCTTCTCATCGAGAAGTATGATTTTTATTTTTAAATCACTTGATTTCGTTGAGTATTGAAGAAGTTATGAACGTTTAAAGTTTACCCAGTTTCCGGCGAGTTTTCCAGTTTTCCCTCGGACCAGTAAACTTTGATCCTATTTTCCGGCCATCTCCGGCAACCATTGGGCTTCCAAATAGATATAATATTATTCTACACTTTCCTATCTTCATTTTGATATATTATGAGTCAAATTTGGTTAAGAAACGATTGAGTTACGAAGTTTTGAAAATTGCCCAAACTTCCGGCCAAGAGCTCCAGGATACTTAACGGAGTTTTTAACGGAATGACGAAAATGATGGATGGTGGACAATCTCAGGGACCACTTCTATTGATTTGAAATCTCAAGGACCAAAGTGATGTGTTATATAAATCTCAGGAACCATTTTCGCAATTTAGCCGTAGAATATTTAAACCGAAAACTAAAAAATAAGTGAAAAATATAGTAGTGAGGCCCAGAACATTGTCAAATGGGGTTCTACACTCAAGAATCTCAACGGAAAGGCTCACCTTAATTTTCAAAACTTCACAGTGAGACGAAGGTGAAAATAAATAGATTGAAAGGGGATTTATGTACGAATTTGCAAAACCGACTAAAAACCGTGACTGTTAATCCACGTTTTTATGTCAAAAATGTAAATTTTTTATTTTCTACGAAATATTTTCCTTTGAGCATTAAGGAAATCTCTATAATGCATTTGGAAGCGGATTAACGATTTACTGAGTAACAAGTGTATATTTAGTAAAATATTTAAGCCGAAAAGTAAAAAAAATAAGTGAAAAAGATAGAGATGTTAAAATCACATGTAGGAGCGGTTTAAACAAAAAATAGTGAAATTTTGTTAAATAGTCTTTCACCCTTTTTTGGTTGACAAAGAGAGTTCTATTAATATGAAGTTTAGATTTAGATAAGAGAAAAATTAACAAAAAATAAAATGTCAAATATCTTTAAATTTAGGTTTAAAACCGTTGATTACCAGTTTAAATACGAATTATAATAGATTTTGCATGGAAAATATATTTTGAAGAACATGAACACGAAAGTTTGTTGTAATGGTAATAGAAATAAAAGAAAAATGAACAAAAATGATTTAAATTATTGGGGTGCCATAAAGTAACGCGTGACTTTATGGCACCCAAAGAATTTGCATCATTTTTGTACAATTTTTATTTTATTTCTCTTACCACTACGACAAAATATCATAATCATGTTCTTCAAAATATATTTTTTCGTGCATGGAGCTCGACTCATTTTTTGAGCACCCGGGAGTTCGTCTCATTTTGTGTGCCCCGAGTCAGCTTCACTTATGTACCTAGGTTGGTTTCGATCTGCACATGAGGTGTTTGCATCATTTTACGTGTCAGAATTCCACCTCTTTTTGCAAGCACAGAGCCCGCCTCGTTTTGGCGTGCATGGAGCCAGCCTCGTTTTATGTGCAACATATCCCGCATCGTTTTTCGTGCGCAAAGCCCGCCCCGTTTTCTATGCTAGAAGCCCGTCCCATTTTCTGTGAACGGAACCCACCTTGTTTTGTGTGCCACATTTCACCTCATTATGCGTAAGCTGAGTCCGTCTCATTTTGCATGCTTCGAGCCCACCTAACACCCATGTTTTTTTACAACAATGCAAATTTTTTATTTTAGCAAAATATTTTTCCTGAGCATTAAGTTAAACTTTTTAAGGAATTTGGAAGCAATTTTATAGTTTATTGAACAACAAATGTATGTTTAGCAGAATATTTAAGCCAAAAACTAAAAAAATAAGTGAAGTGTATAGTAGTGAGGCCCAGAACATTGTCAAATGGGGTTCTATACTCAAGAATCTTAACAGAAAGTCTCACCTTAATTTTCAAAACTTCACAGCGAGGCGAATGTGAAAATAAATAGATTGAACGGTGATTTATGTACAAATTTGCAAAACCAACTGAAACCGTTAGTGTTAATCCACTTTTTTTTTGGTCAAAAATGCAAATTTTTTATTTTCTCGAAATATTTTTCGTGTAGTATTAAGGAAATCTCTATAATGCATTTGGAAGGGGATTTACGATTTATTGAGCAACAAGTGTACATTTAGTAGAATATTTAAGCCAAAAAGTAAAAAAATAAGTGAAAAATATAGAGATGTTAAAATCACATATAGATGCGGCTTAAACAAAATATCATAATCATGTTCTTCAACATATATTTTTCCATGCGTGGAGTTCGACTCGTTTTCTAAGCACCTAGGAGTTCGCCTCGTTTTGTGCGTCTCGATTCTACCTCATCTTGTGTGCTTGGGTTGGCCTCGTTCTACACATGAGGTGTCCGCATCGTTTTGCATGCCAAAACTCCGCCTTTTTTTGCAAGCACAAAGCCATCCTCGTTTTTTGTGCGACGTATCTTGCCTCATTTTTCGTGTGCAAAGCTAGCCCCGTTTTCTGTGCCAGAAGTCCGCCCTATTTTCTATGAGCGAAGCTTGTCTTGTTTTGCGTTCCACAATTCACCTCGTTCTGCATGAGTTGAGTCCGTCTCGTTTTGTGTGCATTGAGCCCAACTAACACCCATGTTTTTTACAACAATGCAAAATTTTATTTTAGCAAAAAAAAAATTTCCTAAGCATTAAGTTGAACTTTTTAAGGAATTTGGAATATTTAGTAGAATATTTAAGTCGAAAACTAAAAAAATAAGTGAAAAATATGGTAGTGAGGCCCATAATATTGTCCAATGGGGTTCTACACTCAAAAATCTCAACGGAAAGTCTCACCTTAACATTTATGTACAAATTTGCAAAACCGACTGAACATCGTGAGTGTTAATCCACATTTTTTTTTGGTAAAAAATGCAAAAAAAAAATCTCAAAATATTTTTCATTGAGCATTAAGGAAATCTCTATAATGCATTTGGAAGTGGATTTACGATTTATTGAGCAACATGTGTATATTTAGTAGAATATTTAAGTCGAAAAATAAAAAAAATAAGTGAACAATATAGAGATGTTAAAATGTATATTTAGTGATATTTTTATTTTTATTAATTAGAGATGTTAAAATGACATGTAGGTGAGGTTTAAACAAAAAATAGCAAAATTTTGTTTTGTTAAATAGTCTTTCACCCTCTTTTGGTTGACAAAGAGGGTTCTATTAATATGTACTTTGGATTTAGATAAGAGAAAAATTAACAAAAAAAATGTTCAAGTATCTTTAAATTTAGGTTTAAAATCGTTGATTACAAGTGTTTAAATATGAATTATAATAGATTTTGCATGGAAAAATACATTTTGAAGAATATGAACATGAAAGTAGTTTAAATTTAGGGCCAGTTTGAGATTGATGTGCTTTTTTAAAAAACTGTTTCTGCTGTGCTTTAAGAATAACCAGCTGTAAAATAAAGCTGATGAGCATTTGGCTAACTAAATTTCAAAAGTGTTGTGAGTATAAAAAGCAACGTAAAAGCGTTTGGTAAAATTTAATGTATAAGTGATATGACTGTATACAATAACAAATGGACATAATAGTAGGAGCGAGGTTGACAACAACAGTGGTGGTGGTTGCGGCAATGATGGTGGTAGTGGCAGTTGTGGTTATGGTGGCAGTGATGGCGGTTGTGGTAATAATGCATGGTTGTGGTGTTGGCGATGGCTGCATCGATGGTGGTAACAATGGTGGCAGTGGTGGTAGTGGTGGTGGCAGTGATGGTGGCGGTGGAGGTAATGCTGGTGGTGACAATGGTGGCGTTTACTTTTTTCTCTAAAGGATAAAATGTGTGTGGAAAGCTAAATAATGTCACTTAAAAACAAAAAATCAAGGTATACAACAATTGAAAATATTTATTAAAAACCTAACTTTGTTTTTTATTAAAGTAGCTTTTAAAAGCAATCTACAATCTGCTTTTAAAAGCTTCTATTTGGAGTTCATTGCTTTTAAAATAAGTATGATATTTTACTTTTACCAAACATTTTTTTACTGTTTAATTTTAAAGTGAAGCAATTTTTAGTGAAAAAAAACAATACCAAATGGATGTTGGGCCGTGGACGACATGTCGTCCATGGAATGTAACGGTCGTGTCGGCGCACTTTTTCAATTTTAAAGCAAAACAAATCGTTAAAATCTTCTACCAAAAGGGAGCCCGCAGATATATTTCGAAAACCCTAAACCCCCTTTCCACTCTGCTCCGCCTCTCTTCCCGCCACCTCCACCGCCTCCGCCACCAAAGCGTTCTCTTCTCTCCATCAGGTAACTAACGTAACTGTTTCTATATCTAATATTTCAGCAATGTGTTCTTTTTTTCAAATTTGCGATTTGTCTCTTTTAGGTTGTTCAAATTGCTAAAATATCTTAATGCGAAGTAAATCGATGATTAATTAAAGACTGAAGCTTTTGCTTGTTAGTTTGCGATTCGGAGAGAAATTTTAACCCTTTTGTTTTTCCTTCAGGTTTTTTTTTTTTTTTTTTTGTTGGTCTTTTGGGACTTTGGATTTTACAGTTTAATCGTTATATGCACGATATGTAGCGTTTTTTTTACACCTTTTTTCTTTTTCTTTTTTTGCCATGAAATTTAGTGCTGTGCAGGTGGAAAATTCATCATATGATTTTGATGAGTTTTAGGTTTTAATTGTTGATTATGGCTTTGGAATTTCCAGACTAGTAATTGATTATATGTTGCGACGGATGACAGGTATAAAATGCCGAAGGTAAAGACTAACCGAGTTAATTACCCAGAAGGTTGGGAACTGATTGAGCCTACGCTTCGCGAACTACAAGCTAAGATGAGAGAAGGTATAAACTTCCCATGTTTTTATTACATTGTTCGTTGAAGTTTGGAACATCGATGTGTTTCAGAGCCCGAAAGGATTCTGATGTGTATTCGGTTTTAAACTTTATGGCAGCTGAGAATGATACTCATGATGGTAAGAGAAAATGTGAGACCTTGTGGCCTATTTTCAAAGTAGCACATCAAAAGAGCCGCTACATTTTCGACCTTTACCACCGGAGGAATGAAATTTCCAAGGAGTTATATGAGTTTTGCCTGGACCAAGGCTACGCTGACCGCAATCTAATTGCAAAATGGAAAAAGGTTTGTCTCAGATCTCTTCTACCTCAATTTGCAACAAGTGTTTTAGTTATATTCACTTGGAATTGGAGCTTAGTTATTAATCATGAAAACCTGTAAATAAGATTATCAGAACATAACCATGAATATTATATTAAACTGAGTAAACATAGACATCGGACATGGGTAGTTATGAACTTATGACATTGAGTTGTCGACTATGATGACAAAGATCAACGTGCTAATATAATACATATGTTCCTTCAACATTGCTTGAATCCACGTTCTCCTGCTACATGTATTGGCGTTGCATCTTAAGCTATATGACTCGGGGATTGTCAATGGGTGTCCATGGATACTCCATATATCACCATCACAGGCACAAACTCCACCGCTCACCACCACAATAACACTATCTATGCTTAAACAGACCTCCATTTAACTAAATGGGCATTGACCATATATGAGTGTGATGAAGGAACTTCTATACTATGTTTGCAGGTCGTACGTAAAATTGTTGGATTACTTTAATTAGGATACTGAGAGGAAAATATTGGATACTCAATTAGCTTGTGTCTTTTTATCTGAAGTTATAAGGTCTATTGTTTTTTAACTCAACTCTAATGACATGTGATGACATATGGTCTGTGTTTGAAATGCAGCCTGGTTATGAACGGCTCTGCTGTTTAAGATGCATGCAGCCCCGGGACCATAACTTTGCCACCACATGCGTTTGCCGAGTTCCCAAGCATCTGAGGGAGGAGAAGGTTATAGAGTGTGTGCACTGCGGCTGTCGGGGCTGCGCCAGTGGAGATTGATTAGTGGTCGAGTCCGTTTTACAAAATGTAATTCTAGTTATGGTTGAACCAGGTTATCATTGGTACCATGAACTGTTAGAAATTTGTAACATGTAGCTGATCGTAATCTTCCCGAATTTCGAGTAGTATTAGTATGTCTCCCTTGTTCTGAACAACTGTTGTGTGCTTCAACTTAACTGCAACTTGTAAGCTGAAAGAAGGAATACTTTGGAGTTTGCCATGGATGAGTTTTAGTGTTCCCAACCGTTTTGTTGTTTAGGAAACTTCTGCTAACGTACATTGGAGCAAATCTCTAATGGAGTGATGCAAATTTGAGATGTAAAATCACAATTGAATACGGTTTTTGCTTCAGTAGGGAGATGTAAATTTAAATTTTGGCCTACATCCTCTTCAACACGTTCTTTATTCTTGGATACGCAAGGAGGATTGGCTCCTTCAGCAGTGTTTTGTCATGGATTTATTGTTGGATTATGAGCATCCGATAGAGGGCCAGACTTGCGGTCAAGGATTTAACAGCCCAGAATCTCAGTGTATACTTTAACACCGGTATTCGTGTTCAAGGATTTAACAGCCAAGGATCCCAGTGTATGCTATAACACCAGTTAAAAGTATAACTATAGATGGTGGATTTGTTTTTGTCTTTTGTTGAATGTTTTTTATGGCTTGATAGATAATTTGATAAGCTAATGATTTTTTTCCGTGTTTCAGAATACGGTTAACCAACATTTTAACTAATCAATTATGATAAATTGGATCGGACTTTGCAATATTTTCTTTTGTAGTACCTCGGCGTGACATGAGCATGATGGGTTATAACTTAATCAAAAAGCCTAGGAGTCATCCGAAAGAGAGAGTAATTGAATACCAAAGTTAGATTTGTTATGTCCCTTAAGAAAAACATATCTCCAACAAAGTTAGCAACCGAACTAACAAATTAAAGAGTCAGACATTTCTTGCCCCGCACAAAGAAAAAGAGGGAACAAAGTAGCCATTATGGACCCCACACAAAGTAGCCATTATGGACCCCACATATAGTGTCCAAGTCTCATGAAAAGTCCTAAATCCCATAATTGTAAATCCCATAATTGTGGTATTTTGTTTGGACAAGGAACATTTGGAAATCCAAACCAAGATTTTGTACAGCGATTTTTTTTAGGCAAAACGATACGGGTTTTATTAGCATTATAAGAAAAAATACAGACTTCAAATAGGACATCCTGAATTAAATCTGAAGGATCTTCAACAAAAAGAACTTCAAAATAAAAAATAAGGCGAACTTGATCAATCTAATAACTACCATATCGGCAGATCTTTCAATGTAACAAGCACGAGAACACATCCAGCACTCTAAGGCCAAAGGAATTTTGATCCCGGCAACTAGAAATTCAATCACTTCATAATCAGTCACATGAGAAATTTTGCACAAAAAATCGTCAACAAACTGGTAAAAGAGATGATCACTTTAGACTTTGGAAAGAGATGTATCAACGTGGTGATGACTAGTGCCCAATCCATAGTTGACGAAGAAAATAAAAGGTTAGGTCCGATCCCAGAAAGGCATCATGGTTGGAGATGGAATTGTCAAGTTTCTAGTCCCAGTGTGCTTCTTCCTTATACTATTTTTTTATCTTTTTCTTTTGTTCAATAATGACAATCATCCTCTCATTGGCCAACTTTAGCATATGGTTAATGTTCTTTCAGTTATAAAAAATAAAAAATAAAATCTTGGGCAAACAGCTGTTGAAACTGAATCCCACATCGGGGAAAGAAGAGACCTTGTATATGCTTTTATATGATGGTGCTATTCACACATCCATTTCTACCTCTCACACACCCTCTCAATTTCTAGTCATTAGATCGAATAAATTGAAAAAGATTAAATGACAAAAATTAACAAGGGCTCAATTTCCATCCGTCGGATGAGATAAATTAAATAAGATCAAATGATAAAAATTAACAAGAGGTGTGTGAGAGTAAAAAAAGGGTGTATAAATTGCACCACTTTATTTTTATAGTGGAACCTCAACATTCTTCCCAGTCAATTCCAATACAATCAAATAAACAATAAAACTTAATCTCAGCAAGAAGTCTTCTATTCCAAATGTGAGGATCTTGCTAGTAATGGCATTGTTGAGAGCCTTCTGTCTCGAAGGTTTTAGCCAATGGCAATTAGAGAGTGGGTGAAAGTCCAAGTGAGTGTTGGACTGCTAGGCATGCCACAATTGGTTCCTTCCAACAAACAATTAGAAATTAGTTAGGTATTTATTGATATTACTTACACCACACACTTTATTTACCTTCTAATAAAAGGACTGTGTCAAGAGTTGAATACTAGCTTATTCTTGATTATTTTTATGTGTTGTAAGCAAAGGACTATGATAAGAGGACTCCCTCAAAAGTGGAATTTTTCATGGACTCTCTATCAACTCATGCTGTTAGCACAATGTTTTATAATGTCGGTTCAGACGTTGACGTTAAATAATAAAGTGTCAGAATGTTCATAAAAAGTTTCACTTTTAGATAATCCCCTTACCATTTCTTACTTTTTGGAGTTGGTTTCACTGTTCATCTTTTGTAAAAAAATAAAGGCCTATGGCGCAGGATCCAAATTAAAATAGAGGGGGAGGGATGGAATAAACATCTTAGTGTTTGCTAATGAGAAAGACCAAATAAAAGCAATCGAATCATACAATGAACCCTGCTGGATTGAATAGCAGTGAACATGCGTGAGCACTGTGGAGCAAAAAATAATCACAAGGCGACACGTGGATTTTTGACAAAAAAAGACAAAACTACCCTTGAGGTATACCAGGATTCCTACGCGCAAGCAGCAGACAATTATCCCTCAACAAAGTCAAAAATGCCCAAAATAGGTATCAACTTAAAACCTAATTTATTCATATATTTCCCATTTCATTATTTAGCTAATCAATTAGCTAAATAATATACTTTTTCCTTTCATATTTCCTAAAATCATAATAATTGACTAATTAAGGGATTAATTACCTAATCAATCCCTTAATTATCAATTGAAACACCCATCCAAACCTAAAACTACTAAAATGGCCGGCCAATCCCATCAAGAAAAGTAAACCATCTTATTCTCCACCTTTTCCACTATTTTCCCTTTTTAATTACCCTAATTAACTAGCCAATTAATTCCAAAAACCACTAAAACATTCATTTTATGTTTAATAGCCAAATAAATTGGCTAATTAAACCTAAATCAAACACAAAAACCCTAGCCACCTCCTATCCCTATAAATATACTCTCATTCCCACCAAAAAAGCCAATTCCAACACTTTGGCAAAAATCCCAAAATTCTCTAAACACCTTTTCTCTCTAAATTCTAACTTTGGCATTTGAGGTTCATCGGCCAAAGCCCCCCCATTCATCGTGGGCGCGTGAGTCTCTTGGCCTTAACCTAAGGTGTTAATTGTTTTGTAGGTGCAAAATTGTCCAAGATCAAGGAGGAAGAAATTTGCATCCACAAGCACCTAACCAAATAATTGGTTTTCGTGTTGTTGGGGCTAGGTTTGGTTTGGTTTGGTTTGGTTTGTCTAGACAATAATGGATTTGGATCTCATCCGGATTCAAATTGTGGGGATCTTCACATCTTAGTCATTCATAATGCATTGTGCAATAAAAAATCATTTGACTTTTTTTTTATATTTAAAATTAAACATAAATAGTATCTGACGAAAACTGACCACACGATATACGATGAATAGCTAGAATGTGGAGATTTCTAAAATCCCCACAAAGTGGATCCAGAGAAAGGATCCTCTTCCGACAATAATATAGATAATTGTTTGCGCCAACTAACCAAGTGTGGAATTTAAAGGATGCCCTAGCTTAATTTCACAGACATTTACTAGAATTTCCAATCAAGTGTAATCCAAAATAGGGCAACAAAAGAATGTTCTGCATCCAACATTTTTACTATCTTAAGACTAGTTTAGAAGTACTTTTATCATGACTAAAAAATATTTTTATAGAAAATGTGCTACATCTAGGAAGCATTTTAAGTACTGTTTTATGATTTTCTTGTATTTTTATTAAAAATTGGTTCTAAAAACATTTTTACAAAAACCATTTTCAGCTGAACTCTTAACTGGACTCGATGCATGTAGTAAACCATATATACATCAAACATTACTTAAGCTAGTTTCTTGATTCTTGTCATTGGATGTATTGTTTGTTATTTGATTTCTTAGTGGCTGCAATTACAAATTCAGTATTTCGTATACTGTCTAGGTTTCTTAAATAGTCAAGACTACAAAAGTTGGCCATGCCATTGTATTTTCTTGAAACTTTCACCTTATTTTATTGGTCATGCAAAATGTCCTCAGCTTATATTTTCTTTGTTTTTTTTATGCATACCAGTCAATGTGATTACGCTTAAGTATCTCCTGTATTTTAAAATCAGTACCACACATCGATGCCAATTATACAGGTATATATTTTATTTTTGAGCAGCAACAATCGAGATCAGAGAGAGGATCAAGACAAGAATATTGGAATCAAGTCACTTTCAAAATTGACAATAGCTAGCTCCAAAAATTATGGAATTTTCTTACAACAAAATCGGACCAGTTCAGATTTTATTTAACGAACATGTACTGAAGTATTACTTTTTTTTCTTTCTTTCTGGACTCTTGAAACATGACAGCAAATATGACACATCGATCAGGCTAGATTTTCGAAATGTTCACCCCACCATGTGAGCTACTTTCATGTGAACATATCTTAATTTGGGTTGGTAACTTGGTATATTATTTAATTCTTCCCCGATTGGTATTTCTGAAACGTAAGGTCATTGTATAGAAAGTTGTATAAACAAGCATGATGTATGCATGCATCCAACAAGATTTCATACATTAGATCTGGCAAATAGGTCGTGTTTTTTGTGTTTGTGTCGTTCTCGTGTGAAAATTCGTTATCTTAGTTGATTGTGTCGTTTCAAACATGTTGTCTTGACGAGTTTTAGACTTCAAAAACCAAATCCGACCTGTTAGTTTTAACGAGTTACACGACCTGACCTGTTTTACCTTACGGACAAAATATTAATTTAACAAATAATCCAATGAAAAAAGTTCATTCTAAATTACTAAAATTAACATCTAAATTCACAAAATATATTTGATTCAACAATACAACTACGATTATTTCATTAAGCACTACATTTACATGACACATAAATTAACAGATAATGCATAATGTGAATGAGAATAAATGTAAATATCAAAACCCTAATGAAGAGTGTCTCTATGCCAAATTATCTTGCATAATGTGAATTTGAATATTAATCCAGTTGAATTTTGCAGTGTGTCGTCTTAATTTACAGTTTAATAACATAAACACAACTGCATGAGATAAGTAAACCATAATTGACAATGACATATCAATTATATCATGTATTTAATTAGAGTAATTTTTAGTTATTTAATTTTCCATGGAAGGAATTTTATCTGTAAAGCAAGCTGCAACCGTTAATTGTCGCTGTCATCTATCCTTGCAGGTTACATATAGTACCGTGAGTAGTGAGAGAGGTTCACAAATACATGACTGGAGCAAATACTCCACCGAGGAAAGATTGGAGGGAGTATGTATTTTAAGAGTTTCTAAGAATATTGTGCACAAAATGAGCATGCATCTTAGTCAAATTCCTAAACCAAAATTTGACGAAAGTGGTTGAGTAGGAGACTGACGAGTTGAGATCTTCTCCGAATCTCACTGTCCAGAACTTAAAAATTAAGAAACTCGAACAGTTCAAGAGAGAAATTCAGGCCCTCATATTGTGTGAGGTTGACCAGTAGAATGAGTTAATAAGGACCGCGTGATTCAATTTGAGTAGTCCAAATTTTTTGATCATTGAGCTCCAGACAAGTGAGATCTACAGTGAATCTCAACTAGAAACTGACTAGTGACTACCAACTATGCCAAATAACAAAGTCCAAAGACTTGGTTTTGTTTTGCTCAATAAACAGAGTCTTTTCAAGAGTGTATTCTAATCAAACAATCCCCATCTTTATCTTGTATTCAACTGCTGCCAATTAAACTCCCGATGCTAAGGACCCTTCAGAAAGGGAGACTTTTAATTCCAAAACCAGTCTCTGTCTGACTCTCAAAGAAGGCTAGAAGCACCAAACACTTGGCAGTGAATTGTATACGTAACCTAATAATTAAATACGGGATTTAGGGTTTGGATGTCATTTTCTACCACATACGTACGCCTCCATGCATTGTCAACAAATTCAATTCATCTCCAATTTTTCCAAACATTCAATCTCAGAAATCGGAGCCACCAAACACCAACAAGGAATTGCCATTTGGCAGTCACAATAACTGCTCAATTATTAAAAAAAAAATTTGTAATTGTCTCACTGATTAGGGTTTAGGATCGACCTGATTAAGTTGGTAGCTTTGGTGGGTTAGGTTTCTATTGGTTTGGTTGGCAAGTGCGAAATATAAAGAAACTTCTACTTGTCGAAATCATTGAGTTAATTGGCATTCCTTCCCCACCCCCGCCCCCGCAGGGGGAGGGGGGGGGGAATTTAGGAGTAGCTAGATTAAGTTTATCAATCATCTATGGGTAAATGACAAAAAATTACCTCAACTATTGGTCTAACGACACTTTCATACCTCATCTTTTAAAAATGACAATGGCATACCTCATCGTACGAATTTGTGCCAATGTCAGACTTCCATAAGTTTTTCTGTTAATTTCTCTGTTAAGTGCTGACGTGGCCAGAGACGAGACCTACTCACTAATTGACACATCCTGACCTAGATCGAGGCATGATGGCCGTCACGTGAGGGTGACGTAGCCATGTGCACAGTGTGGAAACAATACTAATATGAGAAATGAGAGTAAACAAAAGCCGAACCAACTAGATAAGATAAGATGCAAGTGCGATATTAAGTGTGAGTTCACAATCAGAGCATAACTAGCCTAAGTGCAGTCCAGCAGGACGAATACTAATTATACAACACCAAAGGTAATCCTACATTGGTGATAATCTGTTAGAGCTGCCGTGAATTCCTCGTAAGCCACCAATAAGCACTATCACCTAAAACCTGGAGGGGTGCAAAACAGAAACTGTGAGTGGGCAAAAACAAAGCTTTTCAAAACCATTTCATTTATCAAAAGTTATAACCCCTCACCGTAAAACCTGTATAATTTCTCAGAAGGTAGAATACACACACACACACACACACACATATCTCAAAACCATGCTCAAAAAACGATATTCATAAGTATGCCATGCCAAATGTCTCAAAATAACTGAATAAATAACTCGGATGAAATAACATATCAGCCTGATCCATCTAAAGTGGCATGTACGGCTGAATCTATAGCTCAACAAGTATGCCTGCACACGAGTTGGAACCACCTAAAGTGGTCTGTACGACAGGACTAGGTGTAAACAAATACGCTCTAGTGCTACGATCACGTGAAGACTATGCGAATAATCGCGGATCACCTACGAGTCGGAACCACCTATAATAGTTTGTACGACAGGACTGTGCACCTAACTTGGATCCAAGGAAGGTGAGTGTATGGTGCAGGAGGTGAACATCACGTGAAGGACTGTACCCTAACCACGGGCGGGAGCATTAACACCGAGGTGCAGGTTTATGAGCTCTCAACACATCTCACATAATCATCAATTCACATATAAACAGTTTACAACTTACTTGGTACTTACCTGAGCGTCCACAGTGTCAAATCACATTTATGCATATTGTACTAATTCATAGTCTAAGTATAATTCAATAAGCATGGCATTTCAAACGTAATTTCATTTAAACACATTTTCTGGGAAAAATACCAAGTATATAAGTATATACTGAAAACCAAAAGCCCACTCACTGATATGTGGAAAGGTCGTAACCCCCAAGCCTTGCTTGACTGCGCTCATCCTCAGGATAGGTCTCACCTATGTGCGAAACAACTATATAAACGTTATTTTAAAGCACATAACCAAAACTAGGTAATAACTTCTCATACAATGCTCAATTGGGGTGTTTGAATATACCAACGAGACCTACACAACCTCAGGAACATCCTTATATTTTTAGAAAAAATTTCGGAGTACCTACGCGCCGGCTAAGGCACAGCCAGACGCGTGGCTCACGCGCAGACACGTGCCTGGCACACTGACGGATTCCCTAACGGCGTTAGGGAATATTCCATTAAAAATCAGCATATACCGTTAAATATACCTTACGCTGTTAGCACATTCTGTCAACTTTGACGAAATATTCACCTTCTTCTTCCTTGGTTCGCCGGAGTCCGGCGCCGGTGACCTCTGCGATTGCCGGATTCTGGAAAATTTTCAAATCTTAATATCTTATTCATTTCTCAACCAAAATTCATGAAATTTGTACCAAAATGAAGCTTAGGATGAGAAGAACACATCCTTACTTTAAGGTCCTAAAACCAACGGAATCTCACTGGAAAAATCACGATAATCCCGCCACCTCTGCAACTCGTCAAACCCGAGCTTCCCGACGTCCAAAACCTTTCAAAATCCTTCCCTAAGCTTTGTGAAGAAGTTCTAAGGCTCACTAGAACCTTAAAACTCGATGAAACATCCGCGATCACGACGGAGTCACTATGCACCTCATCGAGGGTATTTGGTTCTCGGGTTTTCGAGGGTCTCACGTCCAACCAAAACTACAGCTCGACTCCAGAGCTTGAAAGAAGCACAAAAATAACATCCATAACCTCGATTCATGAATGATGATGTGGGTTGATGGAGTGACCGTACAGGGTGTACGGAAAATGGAAGAAAATTCGAGAGGGAGAGAGAGAGGTCAACGTATGTGTGTGTGTGTGGTCCAGCTTAGGCTACCAACCAAAAACAAAGAAAAATTTAGTTCTAATTGGGTCCAAACAATTAGAACTTAACATATTTGGTCCAAAATCAATTTGCAAGCCACACAACACTAACTAACGTCCAAGGGTATAAAAGTCATTTCACATTATCGAGGATAAAATAATATATACATTTAGGACGGGCTATCACACTAAACCAACTAGATTAAAAAATAATTAAATATATTTTTAATAATTAAATATTATAAAATTAAAAATAAAATTATTTTTTTATATAAAATTATGGGATCCACCATCTCTCTCCTCTCTCTGGACACCTGCATCCCCAAAACCCAAGAAACCCTTCCCACCCACACCCCCAACCTTCCTCCACCACCATCTCTCTCTCTCATCTCTTTCTTGCCTTTCTCTCTTTCTGGACACCTGCATCCCCAAAACCCAGAAACCCTTCCCATCAGTCCCCCCAACCTTTCTCCACCACCATCTCTATCCTCTCTCTCATGTGCAGCGTCGTCCGCCACGACGACGTTGTTGGTGGCACACAACCCATCGTGGGTGACAGAGGAGACGCCGATGATGACACTAGAGCCAAAATCGACCCTCGACCTGAGCAGAATTCCATCATCGATGCCAAGCTTGCCGTTGGGAAACTCAATTTGGTGAGTGGTGGGTGACGCCAGATTGGTCGAGACGTCGCCAATCTTGTTGAAGATGAATGATGAAGGAGTAAGAGAGAATTGCAGGTTGTAGGGAGGGGTATGAGGGAAAAGCTACAAGTAACCCAGAGAGAGATGAGGGAGGGAGAGAGAGTGAGAGAGAGGAGAGAAAGGGTGGTGGAGGAAGGTTGGGGGGACGGGTAGGGAATGGTGGACAAGTGGGGAAGGTTGGGGGGGACATGTGAATAAGGTTAGGGGGGACAGGTGAGGAAGGTTGGGGGGACGGGTGGGGAAGGGTGGACAAGTGGGGAAGGTTGGGGGGGGACAGGTGAGGAAGGTTGGGGGGACGGGTGGGGAAGGGTGGACGGGTGGGGAAGGTTGGGGGGACGGGTGAGGAAGGTTGGGGTTTTCTATTTGAAAATGAGGAATTAGGGTTAGGGTTTGGGTTCAAAAAGGACGGGAAGAGGTAGGGGATGGGAAGAGGTAGGGGATGGGGATAGGTCCCATAATTTCTTAATAATTTTATAATATTTTAATTTTATACAAAAAATAATTTTAATTTTATAATATTTAATTATTTTTTAGTCCAGTTGGATTAGTGAGTGGATCCCGTCTCTAGCCACGTCAACACTTAACAGAGAAATTAACAGAAAATTGACAGAGGTCTGACATTGGAACAAATTCGTAAGTTGAGGTATGACATTATCATTTTAAAAGATGAGGTATGAAAGTGTCGTTCGACCCATAGTTGAGGTAGTTTTGTGTAATTTACCCATCATCTATTCATTTCTTTTAGGAAGGAAAATGTTATTCACACTCATTTTTTGCTATTAATCTTTTTCAATTTATTCAATTCGATAATCGAAAATTGAGAGGTGTGTGTACGAAGTAAATACGAATATGTGGATAGCATCATAGTACTACCCTTAGGGAATTGGACTGGCCCTTGGAAATGACATTAGAAAATGTAATTTTGTCACACTATGAAAAATAGTGTTAGAGGTATTACGTCAACAAAGAAAGTTGAGGTTTAGTCATAAAACCAATTAGTATGAGTCGTGACTCAACTTTTTATAATCCATGCAAAATATAGTAAACTTCTAATCTGAGACAGTTTGTATATACTCATAGTTAATGAACGATGTTATGCCACAATTGAAGTTGACATATTACGTCAATTATTATGAATAAATAATGACTGGCATAATTTTCTAGTGTGGTCTAAAAATATAATAATTTCATGATAGATTTTGAACAAGGATCGGTGGTTTTGGGTAGAGGTAGTAAATCAACTCATAGGATTGTTAATAGGTACTTATTAAGATCAATTTAGTTTGTTTTTATTTCACACAATCATCACTATTACCAATTTCACATTTATATTATAATGACATCAAATTAAATATTTCTTAACGAGTACTCATTAACAACAAAATAAATTGATTTATCATCTCAAAAAATAAGTCTTTTTAATACTGGTTCAGTTGACTAGAAATAGTTGGTGTTTTAATTATTTATTGCTTTCCGTTACAGATAAGATGGGGAGGGAATGGAACTGACCACGCAAATCGATCGGACGTGGTATCCGTGGAAAGATGTCTATAAGCAGATCCTAAGGATTCTCATGTTTTAATCGTTCATCGTATATTGTGCGATTAGTCTTCATTAGTTAATATTTGTGTTTAATTTTAAATAATAAAATTTAAATGATTTCTAACCGCACGATTTATGATGAATGATTAAGAATTTGAATCCGGATGAGATCTAAATCCGTCTATATGCATATATTTAGTCAATCGAATAAAAACCATGATCAATCCACGACATTTTATATGAGAGATGCAAATGAATGAAGAGGCATGTTTTAACTCTCTACATCTAAATTTGAATGGTAATTTAAATAAATTTAATATAATTATTTTATCGGTTGTCAAACAGAAAGCAAATATAGTGATAACGTAAGGCAAGATTTTAATTTTTTTTTAACAAACGATATTATATACCTTAAGGGGAAGGGCAGTTGGGTTTCACAATGGACTAGCAATAATGTGGTTCAAATTCACTTTTGACGAAAATCGAATCTGATACCTCTCACTTACAAGTGAAGATGAATATTATTAAACCGTAGTACTAAGTGGCAGCGTGAGACAAAATTTAAAACCCATTTATAAGATCGTTCTAGTCTTTTGGTCACTACTATTCATAACGTGTAGCAACTACCAAGCATAGAACCACTAGTGATTAATAATTAATCTTAATTTGTGAACCGGGGTGAAGTTAATTAATTAAACACTAATACAGCCATGCACAGCGCGCCAGAGACAATATATGTACGCAGTATGTTGTCTTCAAAACGCTGGCATGCATGAAAAGGGCACACAGACGGATATCTCCAGGCTCAAGCTTGGGTTCGCCAACTGAATTTAAACTTCTTTTAAAACATAAAGGGCAATAATAAATATAACAGCAATCGACGAAATAATATTACAATAATACTTCGATTTAAAATGACAATAAAATACTCAAGTTTTTTTTGTTTGTACTTTGTAGTTTGCTGTATGAGCACGTTCTTTGCTTCTACTTTCCGCAATATTGAAATATTGATTTTGCTTTGGTTGCAAGTTGAACCAAATGTCATGTGGATTCTACATTATTCTTAAGTTATACTATGATTAATATATCTGTATACTTTTTGGTAAAAAAATTAGAAGGACATGGACCATAGTTTGATGGACAAAAGTAAGCTATTCTACGTGCAAAAATTAAAGGAAGAAAGTCGCATATATCAAGAAAAGTCACAGAAAAATTGGTATTTACGGGTTAATTGGTTATTTTTATTGTTGTAATATCTTGAAAGTTGAAACGAATTGGAGTTTTTATATATATATTTTTTGGTAAATTACATAAAACTACCTTAAATATTGGGACAATTACAGTTTCATATCCTATCTTTAAAAAATTTCAATATCATATTTCATCTACGAATTTGTTACAATTTCATACCTTCCGTCAGTTTAAATAGTAACGTGGCTTGAGATGGGATCCATTCTCTTTTAAAAAATTAATTAAATATTAAAAAAATAAAATCATTTAATTTTTTTTGCATGTGGGACCCACCCCTTATCCCACTCATCCTTTCTTCCCCGTTCCTGTCTTCCCCAAACCCAAAACCAAATCCCCCCATACTCAGATCCCATCCGTGCAGTCCTCCTCTCCTCATTCCCCTGCCTTCAACAACTCTGTCAATGCGGTATCTTTTGGGTTCGTAGCCACTGCCATTCTCATCTCCATGTTCTTAGTCATGGCCATCTTCGAGAGGTTCCTCAGACCCACCTCGTCGGACTTGTCGCCTTTTGGCCGCCTTGGCCCCAGAGATCTTGAGGCCCATATGGGTTTCAATGGAAAACTCAGCCACCCTTCACCAAAAGTAAGTAACCCACCCAGTGGCGAAGCCAGAATTCTGAATGAAGAGGGGTCTTTCACAAATATG